AAAAAAAAAAAAAGAGTCTCAAGTACTTTACTTCCCGGACTGGCTTTGAACCAATCCCCTCAGATCTTAGCCTCCTGAGTAGCTAGGATTAAGGCATGAGCCACCAGCACCTGGCTTGTTTCTCTTTCTTGTAGAAGAAAAAAAGTTTCTCCTAAGGCCCTAAAGAATTGTTTAGAGTATGACTCATGAGTAAGATGTTACTACTATACCACTGAGTGCAAAGTATTCTTTGGTCATTAGTGGTGTTGAACTGCTCCCAGAATTGCTTTTCTTTTTTTTTTTTTTTTTTTACCATTCCTAGCATTTGAACTCAGGGCCTGAGCACTGTCCTTGACCCACAGTGCCATTTCCAGCTTTTTCTGTTTATGTGGTACTGAGGAATCAAACCCAGGTTTTCATGAATGCTAGACAAGCACTCTACCAGTAAGCCACATGTTGCCTCAAAATTGCTTTTTTTTTTTTGTCGGTTGTGGGGCTTGAACTCTGGGCTTGGGCGCTGTCCCTCAGCTCTTCAGCTCAAGGCAAGGGCTCTACCACTTGAGCTACAGCGCCATTTCCGGTTTTCTGGTGGTTTATTGGAGATAGGAGTCTCATGGTCTCTCCTGCCAGGGCTGGCTTTGAACCGCAATCCTCAGATCTCAGCCTCCTGAGTAGCTAGGATTACAGGCGTGAGCCACCAGCGCCCGGCTCAGAATTGCTTTTGTATCTGCAGACATCTATGTATGTTAGTTTTCTAGACAGTCCAAGTAGTAGCAATGCCCTAGAAAGAAGGATTTCTCACTTCAGATCTCAGAATGTCCTTTAAACATCACTCACATATTCAGGCTAAACCTGAAGACTACCAGAATGCAACAGTTATTCTGACTTTTTTTGTTGTGAGACAGGGACTTGAACTTAGTATCTGACACTTTGCTCATTCACCGGTGCTCTACCAACTGAGCCTCACCTCCAGCCCCCACCTTTCTCTTTTGGGTCCGGTCATGGGGCCTGAACTCTGGGCCTGGGCGCTGTCCCTCAGCTCTTCAGCTCAAGGCTAGCGCTCTACCACTTGAGTCACAGCGCCACTTCCGGCTTTTTTTTTTCTTTTTTGCTTATGTGGTGTGGTGCTGAGGAATCGAACCCAGGGCCTCATGCATGCAAGGCAAGCACTCTACCACTGAGCTACCTTCCCAGCCCCCCCTCCCCCCACCTTTCTCTTTAATGAAGGAGGCAGTGTAGTCCTGTGTGATTGTGCTGATGTCCTTGACTACAGGTAGATTTTTTTTTGGGTCTGGTCGTGGGGCCTGAACTCTGGGCCTGGGCATTGTCCCTCAGCTCTTCAGCTCAAGGCTAGCGCTCTACCACTTGGGCCACAGCACCACTTCCGGCTTTTTTCTTTTTTGCTTATGTGGTGCTGAGGAATCGAACCCAGGGCCTCATGCATGCAAAGCAAGCACTCTACCACTGAGCCATCTTCCCAGCCCACGGGTAGATTTTTGATGAGGCAAGCAAGTTGGAAAAGGGCTGAGTGTGGCATTCTTCCTGAAGTTTCCAGGAAGCTTCATACTCTTTCCCTTTCTCTTGCTTGAGGTGATTGGCTGCCATGGGTTTAAGTGACAGTTTAGGGGAGGCTGGTGCTCAGAGGTGGCATTTGTTGCTCTGTCCCTGGGTTTAAGACGTAGTAGGCACTGAAATGAATAGAGTGAGGAAGTACATTGAATAGTACATTAGATGTGAAGTGGTCAAGGCCTTGGACTTGGCCAGGCCTAATCTATCTTTTTTTTTTTTGTCGGTAGTGGGGCTTGAACTCTGGGCCTGGGCGCTGTCCCTCAGCTCTTCAGCTCAAGGTGAGCGCTCTACCACTTGAGCCACAGTGCCACTTCTGGTTTTATGGTGGTGGATTGGAGATAAGAGTCTCACGGACTGCTTGGAAGGTGGCTCAGTGGTAGAGTGCTTGCCTTGCATGCATGAGGCCCTGGGTTCGATTCCTTAGCACCACATAAGCAAAAAAAGAAAAAAAAGCTGGAAGTGGTGCTGTGGCTCAAGTGGTAGAGTGTTAGCCTTGAGCTGAAGAGTTGAGGGACAGCGCCCAGGCCCAGAGTTCAGGCCCCATGACCGGACCCAAAAAAAAAAGAGAGTCTCACGGACTTTCCTTCCTGGGCTGGCTTTGAACCATGATCCTCAGATCTCAGCTTCCTGAGTAGCTAGGATTATGGGTGTGAGTCACCAGTGCCCAGCTCGGGCAGATCTAATCTTTATTGCAACCCAGCCTCCAATGAAAAACTAAGCATACTCTGCTCTCCAGGTTTCCCTTGAGTTAGAATCTCCACCATGGTGGGCCGTGTTGGGCAGCTGCTGGGCCAGGAGACCCTGCTTCTTATAGCATGTAGGCTTATTTCACTTCCGAGCTTCCATTTCCTGTCCATAGAATGCAATAATTTCTCCCTATGGGTTTTTGTTGTTATTGTTGTAGGGGTAGGAATGTGGATATTGTACCCAGGTTATTGCGCATACTGAACCCCTGCTGTCCCCTAAGCTACATCCTCAACTACCCCCTGTAGGGTTGTGGTGAGGATTCAATGTGAAAATGTTTTTAAGTTGTAAGGTGCTGTGTAAGTAGAAACATTGGTTATTATAGTTGAGACCAACCAAAAAAAAGTGTGATTGACTTATCCATTGTTCTACCCCAGTAACAAGTAGAGCGGAAAATGTGGCACAAATGCATGCCCTAATCTGGTCAAGAGCTGTAGCCACAGGGTCACCAACTCTCAAGTGACAGTGTCCCACCACAGCTGCACAGCCTCTACTTTAGAACCTGCTGCCCAGCACCCAATCAGTGGGGGCAGGGAGGGTTGATACTGTAACTCCCTCGGTGCTGAAGCAAGGCTGAGGCGAGCAGAGGGTGGGCAGTGCAAGGAGGGGCGCACGCCACCAGGCTGGGGGTTCTGACTCCTCACTTTCTTGGCAAAACTTGGGGCAAACTGAAAGGAGCGGGAGAGAGCTTGGGGTCTTTTCACTGTTCAGAGTGTTTCCATTGTTCCATGCTGAGTTGTCATGGATAATGGCTTAGAGGTGATTATGTGCATATTATATATTTAATAGGTGGGAGTTGCTGTGGAAAATATCGTTACATTCTTTACAGCCTTGTGCACACTGCTCCAGAATGGCCTTGTAATTTCATCTGAACTTGAGTCTGTGCCGGATGGGATGTTGTCATCCTCTGCTCTGAGGGGGAAAACAATCCCACACAGGCCTGTTAGGATAGCTGTTGTGCGGGGTGGATGTCCTAGGGGCTTCAGCTCCTTGTTCTCCTTCTGGCCTTCCAGCCCAACGGGAGACGTGTGATTGTCCTCATTCAGCAGTAAGAACACTGAATTGTGCTGAGGTTGAGACTTGTGGTTAACTGGCTGCTGGGTCAAGGGAGGCTCTCCTCGCCTGTGATCTCAGCTGGTTTCAGGAATAGGGCTATGGGGACTGCTTGACTGGCTTGGGCACCCTTCTGATCCCCTCCCTGGAGACCAGGGAGCTGGGTGGGTGAGGCAGGCACCTCAGGAGGTGTGGTCAGGCCAGGCTCCCAGAGCCTCTTTAACCTGAGTACTCTTGCCTCCCAGGAGCAGGAGCAGTGACTACACGGAGCAGAGAACACCCCTCGGGAGGAAGAGAACCGCGTTTATTCCTCAGGAATACTGAAGTGCCCCGGAGCGAGCTGACCTCCCTCTGTCACCATGCTGTCGGCCATGCTTTAACTCCAGCACACCATTTGTGTATTTGAAACCAAGTCTGTCTCTCGTTTTGTATTTTCTCTCTGGAAATTGTAAGGAGGTGGTCTTCAGAGAAATAAATTAAGCAAAAATGGGACGCCTGGCCTTGCCTTTGTTTCTTTGCCCGTCCTCTCTGAGCCTCCAGAGCCCTGTTAGAACAGCCTGGTCGCAGTCTCCTGCGCCTTCCTCACCCTCACTCACTCCCACCCACAGTTCCCTGAACCACTCCACCTCAGAGCCACAGGTTGCCAGGTGCTGCTGGTGTCTGATGGTGATGGCTAGCACCTGACGCCTCTGTTTCACTGTCTTCCCTCTGGCAGACCTGGCAGGGCAGGCCTCAGGGGTGCCACACCTCCACATTAGGCCCACACAATGTTGTGCTCCTGAAACCTGACTGCATGCCTCTTCCCACTGATGTCCATTCCAAGTCTCACGGGGCTTGGTACAGTTGGGGGCGGGGGGGGGGGCGCAGGGAGGAGTGAGCACTGGCCTCAGTGGGAGTTTCCTTCTGGTGATAGGGAGAACATGTGGTCTATTCACCTGAATGGAAGGTCACATTTGGGATAGTTTATGTTCACGTAGCAGCTGAGACTTAAGGACACAAGGGCCATTTCTGATACCTGTCTTGAGTTCAGGCCTGTACTTTCACCTAAACCAGGCAAGTGTAGGACACATATTTTGCAACTTTTTTCTGAGAAGATGTGTGGAACCTTAGAGTTTGGTCTTTTGTTTATTTCTCTCTATAATAAAATGCCACCACTGCAGAACTTGGTGCCCATGGCCCTCCATCTCGTGAATGTTAATTATCTTCCATAAGCAAAGTCTTGGTCTGGGCAACCGGAGGAGTAGCTGAAGACACAGACAGATTCCTGCTTTCATGGAGCTTAGGATCTGGGAGATGGACAGGCAGACACTGGAACTCTAAAGAGAATCACGGTAACAGGTAGGGGGTAGGGGTCATGGATCAGAGTAATAGGAACAAAGGAGAAGGAATTGCCAGGTTGGTAGGACTACCCCTCAGAGGAGGAAGAATGAGGAAGAGAAGGACGTAGCTACTGTGAAGGCTCTGAATCATAGCTTGGGGGTGGGGATGCACCATTTGTGGAGCCATAGTGCAGGATAAAGGAGAGGAGTGAAGGGCAGAGGCTGGGTGACACCCCTGCAGAACAGTGTGTCACCCCAGTCGTGGCACACTGGTTACACCTCTCAGTTTTTACAAGTGCTATAATGAGTAGATTCATGATAGCAAATCCGGTCTGCTAGTTCCTACCTCATTCTTTGCCCTACTCCCCTTTCCAGAAAGGTAGGCTGTAGATCTGCCTGGACAGCACCGGTGCTGTGCCAAAGATGGGCTAAGCCCAGGTCTGCAAGTTGAGGCCGTGGCATGCCCAAAAGCCACGTGGCCCCTTTTCACTGGCCTGCTTCGTTTCATAATCAAAGGCAACCCATAGAACTGGCAGAAAAATAACCATAACCATGAAGCCTGATTCATCCTTTCCGCTGGTACTCTCCATATTTGCTTTCAGTGTTATTGTCCCCCACTCCACTTTTTCCATCTTCATTCAGGCAGAGATAAGAATAACAGACAGAAGTGTGCCCGCTAATTCTCTAGGTATGGCAGGAAAAAAAAATCGGCAGTGCCTGAGGCCATCAGAATCAGACCTCTGTGATCAGTTGCTAGTTTTAGAAAAGTGTCTGTTTGGATAGAGCTGGCTGCCCAGCACCTTTGAAGCGGTCAGCTCTGAGAGAACAGTTCTTGGCAAAGGCCAGCCGAAGGAAGCCTTGGCTGCTTGTCTTCATCCTAGAGTACAGAGTACTTTGTATTCCTTCCTCATACTTCCTCAGAGAGATAGTTCAGCTGAAAGCACAATACTTGATCTTGTCTCTACCCCCACCCGCCCTCACCATCTCAGCTCAACCGTCAGTAAGTTCCAGCTTTGTTGGCAAAGGCCTGTATTCTGTTCTACTTTAAGTTTCATTAGAAATTCAAGTTCTCCAGGGCTCTGTTCCCTTGTAGGGATGTGAGACTTGGACTTTGCCTCTTGTCTGCCCTTCTGAACCAAGGTCAAAGAAATTCATGGGTTTGGGGAGAGAGTGATGGGAACTCAGCTGGGCACAGGATACTGGGAGAAGCTGTGGCGCCCTGAAAGTGGCCTGCTCTGCCAACATATATAAATACATACAGTCTCAGCCTGACACTGTATAATTTGGCCCAGAACAATATGTATTTTGAACTCATTTGGGTGAATGACTTTGGCAATCCCGAGTACCCACTAGGGGCATGCTTTATCAGCCGTACTTGCCTTGCGCAGAAGTGGGCCTTTGTTCTGAGAAAGGGCCTCAGAACACAGTCTGCTGAGCTGTCTCCTTCAGTGACAGTCATCCTCTCACTGATTTCAAAAGAGCCAAGAATGCAGTCCTGAAATCCTGCTGTCGGAAACGCAGACACTGGGAGTAAGGGGATGACTGTCGTTTATGTAGTTTTGCTTTTAGTTCTCTCAAACCTCACTGTTTATAATTTTTTTTATGTAACCAAGCCATAATTGCATTTTACTTGTCATGGTTCAATCTGATTGTATTGTTGGAAGGACTATTTTTGAACCTGTCCAAATAAACTCTGCAAAGTATTTCCAAAAGGATGTACTTCCACAGAGCTGGGACAGCCTTCGTCCTGAAGGTTCCGGAGACACAAATGGTTTCCTGCGGCATGCTTTCTAATTACACAAATGCAAAAGGGTGGAAGGGAGAAAGTGGAAATTCTAAGTACCAAAAGGAATGTTCAGTTTAGAATAATAAGCTCATCTGGAAGCCATCACCACTTTCCCCTTTTAAGTGTGCCATGAGTACCTCTTTGCTTCAGGCACCAAAGGATGGCATAGGGCACATAGGAACCAGGTAGGAGCAATGGGGAGGCTTCATGTTCAGCAAGCAGGTTCTGTGTAGTGTGAGTGTGGGGCAGAGATAACTGACAGCAGTAAAGATCCCAGTAGGATGAGGACCACAGAGACAAGGAGAGAGAGGACCTGGGACGTAGTGCCTGCTCCATCCCTGACTTGTCAGGTGACACAAAGAAGTTCTTTTTCTTTCTTTTCATTATTTCTCTCTTCTTTCTTTCTTCCTTCCTTCCTTTCTCTCTTCCTCCTTCCTTCCTTCCTTCCTTTCCTTTCCCTCCCTCCCTCCCTCCCTCCCTCCCTCTCTCTCTTTCTCTTTCTTCTTTTTTTCTTTCTTTCTATCATATGGCTTTAACTCAGGGCCTAGGCACTATCCCTGAACTTTTTTTGCTCAAGGCTAGTACTCTACCACTTGAACCACAATGCTGCTTGTGTCTTTTTCTGTTTATATGGTACAGAGGGCTCGAATCCAAGGCTTCATGCATGCTAGGCAAGCACTCTACCACTGAGCCATTATAGGCTTTTTTTTTTTTCCACTATAGGCTTTGAGGGTCAAGTATGTGTTGACACAAGGGTATAAAAAGGCTGGGAAAGTGGCTCAGTGGTAGAGCGCTTGCCTTGCATGCCTGAGGCCCTGGGTTTCGATTCCTCAGTACCACATAAGCAGAGAAGAAAAAAAAAAGCTGGAAGTGGCGCTGTGGCTCAAGTGGTAGAGTGCTAGCCTTGAGCTGAAGTGCTCAGGGACAGCACCCAGGCCCAGAGTTCAAGCCTCAAGACCAGCAAAAACAAAACAACAAAAAATGGTTCCTGGGGCTGGGAAGGTGGCTCAGTGGTAGAGCACTTGCCTTGCATGCATGAAACCCTGGGTTTGATTCCTCAGCACCACATAAGCAAAAAGAAAAAAGCCGGAAGTGGCGCTGTGGCTCAAGGGGTAGAGCACTAGCTTTGAGCTGAAGAGCTGAGGGACAGTACCCAGGCCCAAAGTTCAGGCCCCACGACCGAACCCCCCCCCCCAAAAAATGGTTCCTGGCCTGGGGTGTATAAAAAGTTGCCTGGAGCTGGGAGTGTAGCTCAGCCTGGATGCTGTCCCAGTGCACTTCAGCTCAAGGCTAGCACTCTACCATTTGAGCCACAGCTCCACTTCCAGCTTTTTCTGTTTATGTGGTGCTGAGGAATCAAACCCAGGGCCTCATGCATGTGAGGCAAGCACTCTACCACAGAGCCACCTTCCCAGCCCACAATAGACATTTTTTTTTAATTGAAAAAAAAAGGTTTCTAGGGCTGGGAAGGTGGCTTAATGGTAGAGTGCTTGCTTAACATCCATGAAGCCCTGGGTTCAGTTCCTTAGTACCACATAAACAGAAAAGATCATAAGTAGCACTCTGGCTCAAGTGGTAGAGTGCTAGCCTAGGGCAAAAGAAGCTCAGGAACAGTGCCCAGGCCCTGAATTCAAGCCCCAGGACCAGCAAAAATAAAACAACAAAAAATGGTTCCTGGGTTGGGGTGTATAAAAGTTGCCTGGATCTGGGAGTGTAGCTCAGTGGCAGAACACTTGACCAGCATGCACAAGGACCTGGATTCCATCTCCACAAAAAGTAAGAGGCTTGCCAGGCACCTGTAACTCATGCCTGTAATCCTAGCTACTCAGGAGGCTGAGATCTGGGGATCATGGTTCAAAGCCAGCCCGGGCAGGAAAAGTCCATGAGACTCTTATCTCCAATAAACTACTCAGAAAACCAGAAGTGGCACTGTGGCTGAAATGGTAGAGACTAGCCTTGAGCTGAAGAGCTGAGGGACAGGGCTGGGAAGGTGGCTCCGTGGTAGAGTGCTTGCCTTGCGTGCCTGAGGCCCTGGGTTTGATTCCTCAGCACCACATAAACAAAAAGAAAAAAGCCGGAAGTGGCGCTGTGGCTCAAGTGGTAGAGCTTGAGCTGAAGAGCTGAGGGACAGCGCCCAGGCCCAGAGTTCAAGCCCCACGATCGACAGAAAAAAAAGAGGCTTATACTGCTTGAATCAGAATAAAATGCATGGCATCATTAGTCAATGGTCAGGAGATATGGTTTCAGGAGAGAAAAGTTACAGGTGTTGGGCTCAAAGATTTGGCTTTTGAGATTGAAATCCATAATATCCAAGGGAGAGAATGAGCACATGGCTGTAAACACTACATCTTCATTGATAAGTTTTTAGTGTAAGGCCATTATAGGTT